AGGTCTCCAGGTACAACTGAGAGGACTGGGTCAAAAACGCCTCTTCCCCAAAATAGTCCAGCTTGAAGAGTGTAGCACCACCTTCTACTTGTGTTTGCACTAATGTTGGAGGAGTAACCTGTACAGATGGAAAGGGGGAGTAAATAAAGGCCTATTGTGAGCACCTCTATTCAAGTTTAAAAATGGCAAAAGGTGTCATATGCAAGATGATGGATGCACACTTACTTCATAGTAACCCCTATCAAAGAAGTGGTCTCGAAAGCACCTGGTGACCACAGAACGTGCTTTCATGATTTTGGACATGTTTTCTCCTCGGATCATCATGTGTCTGTTGTTGAGCTGCACATCAACATCAGACTCTTCATTGATCAAGTTATCAGCTCCTCCAGCGGGGGCCAGCCCGATCAGTTCCCAGAAGTCACAACTCAACTCATGGCCCCCGGGGGCCTAGGTTTTTAAAAAGGGGGTGGGGAGAAAGACAGGGAGGGAGAAGGAAGCAAAAATTTTACAGTGTTAAATATTTTAATTTATGTGAAAATTTTTGGTAAGCAGATATTTCTAAGGACCTCATCATTACTGGCCTACCCTTCTAAAACAAGGACCCAAGAATTCAATCTTATATTGAATTAATATTTGTTTCAGAGTAAACACACACACGCAAATACTTTTGTAAAAAATAGAAAAGCACAAGTTAGAAAATAAACTATCACCCCATAACTTGGAGTAACTACTAACTACTGCTAATTTTGCTATCTTTCTAGTCTTGGCCCAATAATTTTAAATAACATAGTACCCACATTGAAAAACTCCTTACATGCAAACGTTTTACTCAAAGCTATTTGTCTTTGGAATATATATATATATAGTAAAAATTCAAATTCTCCCTATTAATTCCATTAAAAGCAATTCATTTTAGAAGCCACATATCATGGAATACATAATTATTTGGTGCCAAACACTGAACAGCAAGTAACATCACGACAACCACTCCATTTATAATCACATTACTTACAAGGAAAATTCAGGGAATCTGAACCAGAGATTCATTCTTAATAGGAATTCTTTTACATGATCTGTGGAAGACTCTTATCAACATTGCCCGTCTATTTGGTAGACTCTTGGGGCCCCCTCTGGTGGTTAATACATCACATTTATTTTCTTTCCCAGCCAACAGATATAACCATAGTAATAGTTATTTGAACAATAATTACCAACAAGTAACTGTAACTGGTATAGGTTATGTGCCTGTTGGCTGGGGAACAAACATCTCTCTGAACATCAGTTATACGTAACTTTTTTTAAAGAGGCCATTTAGCTCACTGAGTCCTCACGGCTTTGCAAAGCGGATGTTACCTCCAAGGCAGAGATAAGGAACCCAAGCAGGGTCACTGGCCTTCAGAAATACAGCAGTACGGACAGAGGTGGAAGCTAAGCCTACCTGGGAGGCCTTCTTACTCCAAAGCTCATGTTCTTTCCACTCAATCACACCACTTTGCTAAGTATTACTAGTTCTCACATTCTCAGTAGAAAATTTTATTATACATCATCAACTGAATTCATGAAACAAGAATAATTTATATAGGCCTAGTATACTGTTTGTCCTTTTGAATAGTCCTCCTTAAAACAGAACAAAACTCTATTTAGCAGTAGTTACATTTTCTATGTAAAGCAGTTAAATTTGCAAATACCATGTAAGAAATGGTTAAATGCGCAGGGCTTAGGATAGTGTTAATAATCCCGAGGTTCATGCTAGGAGGGTGGTTCCAGGCCACCTTCCCCACCAAGGCTTTCTCCATTGGTTTTGCATTTTAACCAATGGCTATTTTCTTCTTTGAAATCTCCTCCATATTACAGGAGTTTTAATTCACTATTTTGGTGGAAGAAAACCTTTTTGAAAGAGCCAGATGCTTTCTCCAAACAAACAAAACATATACACACACCAAGATTTCTCACGTAATTTTACAGTTCACAACTTTCTAAAGCATCCTGCCAGCCTAGAGAATTACAACAGAGCTTGTGATGACTGATCCTAGAAGAGGAGGAATGAGGCAAAGGATCAGGTGTAAAAGCTAAACACTTGCTACTGTTTACTGAGCACGACTGAAAGGCCTACTCCACAGCTATGAACTCAATGAACGCTCAGCAGATGTCTCCTACCTAGCTGGTTAATTAAGCAGAAGGAGCAATCCACTGAAGCACCATGATTCTTTTGAAATGATGATTAGAAAGCAATACATACCTCTCCAAATTCATAAAAAGTTCCATCTTCTTTCTTTACATTGTGTTCTTTTAGCCACACAATAGCATCTGAATAGTTCATCCGTCTGAAAGGCCGTTTGGGGGGCTTAAAGTTCTACAGTCAAAAGATACAGTGTATATATAAAAAAAAAACCATGAACACTAAAATTTCCATTTTA